GTCTGGGCCCAATTCTCTCCCCTGGAACAGTCCTTGTTAGTTCCAGCAGCCATCTCAGGTGGTAACTAGGGGTTTTCTCATGACTGACAGCCTCTTTGTCCTGCTCCACCCCCCTTTTATAACTTTGGCACAAGGTGGGAATCTTTTGTCTCTCTGGGTCCCCACCCCTCCTTCTAAATGGAAAAGTACCAGATTTAAGATGGATTCCAGGTGACATGATCACATGTCCTGTGAGACCCCAGCGTCCATTCTTCCTGGGCTGGCCCACATGTACACAGGAAGGTTTGCAAGTAAACAGAGCCATTTACAGTACATTGATTCTGAAACACCCTTAATGGCTTCCACTTAATATGTTTACATCAGTGATACAAGTTTATATCTTATTCTGCTAACTTCGGACATAGAAATAATACATGCAAACAAATAGGATGAACACACTCAGTAGATTATAAGCTTTGTAATGATACTTTACAAGAGACCTTTTGCATAAAGCATATTCCAGTTACATCATAGTCACATTCATACGCATATTTTCATAAAGCATATGGAGTGCAACGTCACAGTTCAGGTTACAGAAGACACATTGGCTGCATCTCTGACAACCCACGTCTTAGAAGAGCTAAATGCTTGTAAACTGCACTCCAAGGAGATGGCTACTTGTGCATCTGATGGAGCTGCAAACTTCTCTGGAAGACATAGTGGAATACAAGCTTTGCTCAGAGAAAAGTGTAACTCTAAACTCTCCTATACACACTGCAGACGCCATCTACTCTAACTAGCACTAATATGAGCTGCAGAATCTTCAAAAGGCATTTAAAAAGCTATAAATTTAATATTTTCATTATACTCTTTTTTCAGCAAGCATCCAAAAGGACTGAACGTCTTGGAAAATATAGAAGATACACTGGGACTGAAGTTCAAATTAGTCCAACCTGGGAAAACCCGCTGGCATTCTCATGAGCAATCCTTGGCTGTTGTCTTAAAATTACTAAAACCATTATTATTGGCTTTGGAAAGTATCTACCAAGATAGGCTGGATCTAAGTAGTGAGGCTGGTGGACTATTTTTGCTACTACGTTCAGAGAAGACTACTGTTGAAACCACTTGGGTCATTAAACAATGCCATCCAGGCATCTGCTACAACAGTAGTAGATCTCTGTCCAGCAATTGAAGCTACAATTGGATCAATCAGAAAGATATCCATTGAAAATGTACTGGAAGAAACAAAGACTTCAGTTCAGAAGTTGACTAATTAGGGCAGAGTTGTGCAAAATTACAACAAGAAACCAAGGTGAATGTAGATGTAGTGCTTCCTAGTAGGCTTGTGTAGCCAACTTTAATTTGTGTGATGATTTAAAAACATGAGTTAAATCTAATAAAATGGTCATGAAACATTATTCAGTTTTTACTATGGTGCCATACAGCACCCCTTCTCCCCAATGGTCTCACCCCTCATTGGTCCTCACACACATACCCCTTTGTTTTTGAACACACACACACACACCCCAATTTCAATTCCTGGGGAAAACACTGCCCTGGCAAACAGGGTGTGAAATATAGACTGTCGGAGTGACACAGTCAAAGGGACTAATTCTACCCAGCATGCAACTTTGGAACAGGCTGGATTGCTGACTTTGGAACAGGCATTCTGCCTGAACCACACAAACAGCATTCCAATAAGGAACAAGAACAATCAGAAATCCACAGCCTTTCCAGCCCTTCAGTTGCAGGCAGGTCCAATGGCCATCTTCACTTTTTCTAGTGGTTTGGCTGTAAAATTAAATTGACAACGGATGGGATGACTATTCAACTTCTAGTCAGTGCAGTGGTGATGAATCTACCCCTTTGTTTGAACTTGTCTCACAGATTTGCATTAAGTCCGGGACTTCAGATTCTACATCAGATGTTTCAATCTTAGGGGTTCTGATTGGATGTAATGACAATGCAGATATTTAAGAGTAGGTTAGATAAATGTCTATCAGGGATGGTCTAGACAGTATTTGGTCCTGCCATGCGGGCAGGGGACTGGACTCGATGACCTCTCGAGGTCCCTTCCAGTCCTAGAATCTATGAATCTATGAATCTATGAATCTATTTCCTTACTCTCTTGGGAAACAATGGCTCCCATGTGAACCAGAGGAACCCCTTAAAACTTACAGTGGGTCTATTGTCATGTCGGAGAAAAACTGAGTTCTCACTCTTTTGTTTGGGTACAGCAAGTCAGAAGCTTTATTCACTCTCATAATTGTGCAGAGGGAGAGAGCTAAGCAGGTCTCTCTCAGGTAACTAATTACAGCAAGCATTTATACCTTTCATTACAGAAATAATGAGGGACAGCTGCATTTTGTTTATACATAGGCCATCTTGATATCTTATTTCCTCACTTGTTTTGACTCTTGCCAACATACAATATTTTCTATACCTTATCTACACAAGGTCTTTTACACCTTATCTATACAAGGTCACAATAACTTCTCACACAGTCTTTCTTACCCGCCTCACACAGTCCTCGCTTCTACAAATTTCGCGTTATCAGGGTTACAGTTAGCCTGACTCTTGCTAACAAACTGTCATGCATTGCAGTTCTTTTCTGACAGTTCTTTTTTTGCTTCCACAACCCCCCCTTTTGTACTTCTAGTACAACAAACATTCTCAAACCTCTATTTGTATTAAGTCCGGGACTTCAGATTCTACATCAGATGTTTCAATCTTAGGGGTTCTGATTGGATGTAATGACAATGCAGTCATGCAATGTGTCATTAACATACACACAGCTATCATTAGCTTGAAAAAGTAAGTGTCCTGTCAGGGTAGTTTCTTGTCCCCTACCCTCCCAGCAAACGTAGTCATAAACAGTGACAACTTCTCCTGGCTTCAGTTTACGTATACACTGAAGCTGTGGGGGTTCTAATGGCCAAAATCTCCATAGACTACCTAACCCCATCCAAATGTCAGGTGTAATCCTAGGAGCACTGACTAAAAATCGATTGGGCATACCAGGTGGTCTAATTTCCCAGATGTCTCAGTGAATTACCCAATCCCACATGCATCCTCCCCATGGACCCAGCAGGATACGGTATGTGGGAGCCCACACCCCCTTTACCGGTCCATATGCTTGGAAGGAGCATTGAGAACGTCCGCACTTCCATCCAGAAAGTTTCCAAGTAAGTCTCCATGGCCACAGATCAGATGGTACTCCTGATGTGTCTGTAAGGGCAGTGGGCCAAGCCTGATGTTCTAGATCATTCCGAATGGCCATCAGCTGGTCATTCAGGAAATCCTGAATCTCTGAACATGCTAGATCCCACTGCAATGCCTTCCCAGCCTCAGTGATATTCAGTACCATCTTTGTCAGCAACTTCTGGGTCATAGAACTAAGGGCGGAAATAACATGTAACTCACCAACTCCAGCCTGTACCTGGGTTAGTTGTGCTCCAGAAACAAGGCCAATGGCCTTCTCTAGTTGGCCCAATTTTTCATCATGTTCTTGGTTCTTAAAAATATTCCAAACGGCTGCTGCACTATTGGCCCCATCCCACAGGGATCCGGTCAAGTCTCTCTTCTTTCTAGAAGAAATAACCCAAGCCCTCTGTTGTGCTAATCTAATGGCAGCCCCCTGTGAGCAGTTTGGGTATGTAGAGGTGATCTGGAAACTGGATAAGGGCAATGAAAATTTAACAGTCCCTAATGTAGTGTTAATCACAGTCCACCAATATCCTAATACATCTTTCTTTGGTGTAGTACTATACCACATCTGTTGGTCGACCACCTTTATGTATTTCTGGGAGGCATTAACATTAATGGTATAAGAGGGGGTGTATTGCAATAAGGTACAAGTCACATTATTAGTCACCGGAATAATTTCTATGCAGGTAAAATTTCCAGTGGCAGAACAAACTCTTTGGGTATTTGTTTGATTATTCACTAATTGGGTGACCAAATAACAATAAGGGCCTTTCTCATTTAACACAGTACAAGTTTCAGGAACAACCGTCATATCTACTTCACTATAGAACCCATCAATTGCAATTATTAATTCTTGGGGTTCGCTGGTAGTGATATCATGTATTTCTATCTTTACTGATCCATTTGTTTTCCATTTAATTGTTTGCTCATATACATTATCCTGAACTTTAAAGAATAATTTCTTTGAACAAAATTTTAGTAAATCACTAAGATGTGAAAGCCTTGGCCAATGGGTTTCATTGGAATATACAGTACGGTTTGTATCTGGATAAGTCACAGTGGTGGTGGCAGGGGTCAAGGGACTAGTGGTGGATGTAGTCTTTGTGGTGGCAAGGCGTTTTTGATATTTATCATCTGAAAGCCAATTAGGGAGGGCAGTGCATCCTAAAGGTACCTGTCCATAAGCACAAAGTCCTGCCCCTGGGAAAAATCCACCCCACCACTGGACCCCGCATTCCCAGGAACGATCCCCACAATTCCCTCCTTGCCAATAAACAATGCTCCGTCTCTTCCACCAGGGCCAGTTCTTAATGTCTTTTGTAGTCAGGAATCCCTGGACTTTGGTGGTTTCAGCAGAGCGAGTGTTTCTTCTTTTCTTCTTCAAAAGCAGTTGTGATTCACCATAGTGCAGGGGAGAGGTTACTAGCACTTCACCCTGTACTGGTGTGATTCCTGTAAAAGAATTCAAAGGCATTGTAGATCTGTCAGTGGACAAGGGAGAGGTTACTAGCACTTCACCTTGTCCTCCTTCCCTGCTGTCCAGAAGGCACAGCAGAGCTAGCAGGAGAAATAGGCTGATCAGCAGCTGGAGAATCATCTCCAGGTGGAGGGGTCTTTTTGCAGTGAGAAGCATGGGTCCAGGCAGTCAGTCCTTGGCACTTCACAGCGGTGTTGGTGGTTAACAGGACTTGGAAAGGGCCCTTCCAGCGTGGAGCCAGGGCAGTCTTTCGCTGATGGACCTTTATGTAGACCCAGTCTCCTGGTTCCAGTGAGTGGCAGGGCTGCACAGGATCCTTGGGTAGTGCTTCTTTCACCTGTGTATAAAAAGACTTAACACATTTCATTAGTGCCTGACAATACTTAAGCATTGTGTCATCCATTAAATGAATGTCCATCTGAGCTAGGGTCAGTGGGGGCGCAGTTGGTAGTCGCATTGGGCGCCCTGTCAAAATCTCATGAGCGCTGAGTCCAGTCTTTCGATTGGGAGTGGCCCTCATACTCATTAGTGCCAGAGGAAGGGCATCTGGCCACTTCAAGTTTGTTTCAGCACAAATCTTGGCCAGTTTATTTTTCAGAATTCCATTCTGGCGTTCCACTGCCCCGGCAGACTGCGGATGGTGAGGGCAGTGAAGGTTGTGTTGGATCTGCAAAGCTGCACATAACTCTTTTACAATCTGTCCAATAAAATGAGTTCCACGGTCACTGTTAATACTCACAGGGATGCCAAATCGTGGTACAAAATCTTTAAGCAGAAGTTTCACAACAGTCCTGGCATCTGCTTTCCTGCAGGGAAAAGCTTCAACCCAATTTGAAAATACATCCACTAAAACCAATACATATTCATAACCACAACATTTAGACAGTTGAATAAAATCAATCTGAACATTTACAAAAGGTCCCCAAGGGGGAGGGGGAGCTGCCTGCCTAACTTTAACAGCTTTACCAATGTTATGCTGCTGACAAATCACACATTGTTGACAGTAGTGATGTGCAATGACTGGGAACCCGAATGCACACCAATCTCGGTTAACTGCAGCAACCATCCCCCCTTTGCTCACGTGTGCCATTCCGTGGTATACACGAGCAAGATAGGGCATTAGCATCTTCGGTGCAACCAGGCGACCAGCTGGGGCACGCCAAAGATGGTCAGGGTGTAGAATACAGCCATCAGCACTCCAAAAACGTTTCTCAGCTGCAGGTGCTGCTTCCTGGATCTTGGCCAGATCCTCAAGGGAGGCTAGTGGAGGCTGTTCAATCAAAGCACAGGTATATTCAGCCTGAGGTGCAGAAAGGGCCGCTGCTTTGGCTGCAGAGTCTGCCAAAGCATTTCCACGGGTAACTTCATCATGAGGGGTCTGGTGAGCTATACATTTAACGACAGCTATAGCTTTGGGCAACAAAAGGGCATCCAAAAGAGCAGATACATACAGACTATTCTTAATAGGAGAACCAGTGGATGTAAGGAAACCTCTATATTTCCAGAGCAAACCATAATCATGTACCACTCCAAAAGCATAACGAGAGTCTGTATAAATTGTAACTGCTTGATTCTGAGCTAGAATGCAGGCTCGAGTTAAAGCCACAAGTTTGGCTACTTGAGAAGAAAACACAGAAGGAAGAAAAGCACTTTCAATAACAGCGTGTGCAGAGCACACAGCATAACCAGCAACCAATTTACCCTTAGAATCTCGCAGGCACGAACCATCCACAAAGTAAATAAGATCAGGATTTTGCAAAGGCACATCTAGCAAATCATCTCTCGGACGGGAGAGAACCGATGTCACAGACACACAGTCATGTGGTTCTCCGTCCTTTGGCCCAGGCAACAAGGAGGCAGGATTTAGAACGGGGCAACGAGCCAAAGTAATATGAGATGAAGACAACAAGACAAGCTCATATTTTGTGAGACAAGAAGTGGATAAATGCTGTGTCTTAGATTTTAACAAGAGTGCAGCCACAGCATGAGGAACAGCAACAATCAAAGGAGATCCTAAGACAATAGATTTGGATACTTGAACAGAAAGGGCCGCTGCAGCCACAGCACGCAGGCAAGGGGGAAATCCAGCTGCCACAGCGTCTAGGGCAGTACTGTAATAAGCAATGGGACGGTGTTTATCTCCGTGCTTTTGCGTTAATACAGCCAAAGCAAACCCATTACGCTCATGACAGAAAAGAGTAAATGGTTTAGCATAATCAGGAAGTCCCAGGGCTGGTGCACTGGACAGGCTTTGCTTAATAGCAACAAAAGCTCGTTCAGCCTCCGGAGACCAAGGAAGAGGCTCAGGAGTACCTGACTTAGTCAGATCCTGTAAGGGTTTAATCATTGTTGCATAGCCTAAAATCCACTGTCTACAGTACCCAGTCATGCCAAGAAAAGTACGCATTTGAGAAATAGTACCAGGCCTAGGCATATTTAGAATAGCTGAAATACGAGAATCTGAAAAATGACGAGTACCAGGGGAAATATCATGACCAAGGTAATGAACCCTGGGCTGACACGGCTGTAGTTTTTCCTGGGATGCCTTATGACCCTTAGCAGCTAAAGCAGTCAAAAGAATCAAAGTATCAACTTTACAAGATTCAAAAGAAAGGGATGCCAGCAAAAGATCATCCACATACTGCATAAGCACTGATTTACCTGGAAAAACCACATCATCCAGATCCTTCTTCAGGATCTGGGAAAACAAGGATGGGGACTCAGTATACTCTTGCGGTAACCGAGTCCAGGTGTACTGGCGTCCTTTATAGGTAAAGGCAAACAGATACTGACTATCAGGGTGAATGGGGATAGAAAAGAAAGCTGAACAAAGGTCCACAACAGTAAAGTGGGTGGCTGAAGGTGGAATACAAGAAAGAATTGTAGCTGGATTTGGAACCACAGGAAATGAAGGCAAAACAACAGCATTAATCGCGCGGAGATCTTGAACAAACCGATAGGTGTTCTTTCCTGGCTTCTTTACAGGAAAGATAGGAGTATTACAAGAACTGGTGGTGGCAACAATAATACCCTGCTGTAATAAAGACTCCATTACTGGGGCTATACCTTCCTCTGCCTCAGGACGCAGAGGGTATTGTGGAACCCTTGGCAAAGCTTTAGAAGGATCAACAAAAATCTTAACCGGTTCAGCAGTCCGGATCTGTCCCACTTCATCTGCATGCCGGGACCAGAGATGGGGGGGAACTTGTGATAACAAATGCACAAGGTCAGGGCTAAGAGTTGTTGGTAATTTAGCTGGCTCCTCTATGTGGAGTGTAGCCAACACTAGATTAGTATTCTCATCAGGAACTTGTAAGAATACGCCATCTGGTGTGCAATAGATAGTACAGCCTAATTTACACAAAAGATCCCTTCCCAGCAGATTCACAGGAGAGGAGGGGCTGAGCAAGAATGCATGCTTGTTAGCAAGGGGCCCTAGTGAAACCGCAAGGGGTTTTGTGACAGGATGCGAAACAGGTTGATTTGAAATGCCAACGGCATTTACAGCCAAAGTTGACAAAGGAACAGAGGGAAACTCCGAGGATCTTAGAGCAGATCTACTAGCTCCAGTATCCACAAGACAAGTAACAGATTGTCCTGCAATTTCACAATTTACATAGGGACCTTCTTGATTAATGGGAATTAAAGGATTCATGATGCAGTTACATTCCCTCAGGCTGTCCTAGTAAGAGGTAGTTTGTGGGGTAAAATTGGACGCTTCAGGATTTGGGAAAGGAAGTGGAGGGTTCTGAGATAATCGGGCTGGGCACGTATTTTTCCAGTGTCCCTCTTGGCCACAAATGTAGCATGCATTGTACCTGGACTGGGCAGGATACGAGGGACCTTTCCCTCTTCCTCGCCCACGACCTTGTTCTCGTCCTCCTTTCATTCCCCCACGGCCCTGGTTTTGATAAGTTTCTAACTGCAAGGTCAACAGTTTTGTTTTAGTATTCTCTTTCTTCTGCTCTATGCAAGCTGTACAATGATTGGCGACTGTCACCAGTTCAGAAAGGGGTTTAGTTTGCCAGCCAATACAGATAGTTCTTAACTGCTGCTGAATCTTTGGTAAGAGTCCCTGAACAAAAGCAGCCCCTACTGCTTCTCTAGCATTTTTAGCTGGCTGAGCAATTCCCGAATGTTGTTCAAAAACCTTAGTCAGTCTATCCAGATAATCAGCAGGGGACTCTCCTTTATTCTGTTTACAGTAGGTAATCTTTGTCCAATCTGTCTTCTTAGGGCAGACTTCCGTAATAGAATTTAAGAGACGGTCCCTAGCCTCTCTCAAATCACGGTCAATTCCAGGGTCGGCACCTGGCCAAGCTGCCTGTCTAGTAAGTCGTTGTCGAACTTCGGCTGGCATAATCATCCGTAATAGTTGATTAATGTCTGCCCAAGATGGATTATAACACTGAACCACCATCCGGAGCTCATCTCTAAATTTTTCTGGCTCCTCCCTGACATTAGGAAATTCCTTCACCAAGTTTCTCAGATCTCCTGGCGACCACGGGGCATGCACTGTAACCAACTGTCCTGCAGTCCCGGGCAGTTTTCTTAAAGGAGCCTGGACTGCCTGTGCTATGCTTATAGTAAAATAACAGGTACCCTCCTCAGAAGGATCAAACTCGGGAGAACTACTGGGAAGATCAGAATCACCCCTTTGTGGTGAAGAGGAGGCTTCTCTCTCAGGAGAAGAAAGAACAATGTGTGCAGCTGATACATGCGGTGGTGAAGTTGGCACTGCCGGGTGAGATTCGTCAGCACGCACAACCGGCAGGGGGGGAGGAGGAGGCACAGGCTGCTGCTGCTGAATGTTACTGAAGAAATCTACAATGTCCTCAGCAGTTTCCTCCTCACTCTCAGGTCTAACTAACTGGGGATAAAGAGGAGCAGAAGGAATTGCTCGAGCGGGAAGACTGCCGGATGCCTTACATTTAAGTTGTAAATTGTATACTTGGATTTTTAATTTTTCCTGGGAGTCCCTTAGACTCCGCACCCGAGACTCGTGGATTCTCTTTGTTGCTTCCTCCCACCAACAGACAAATTGCTCCCACTGCGTATCAGAGGCTTTTGGCGAAGCCAGGGTTTCTTTGAGATATTTAAGTTTATCTAAATCGAAGGTACCTTCTAGTGGGCATTGTTTAGATGGATTTGCACGCGTGTAAAGATTCCAACTATCTAAATACCTGCAGGTTGTTGGACCATAATGTACGTACATGAAATAAGCTGGGGTACCCTTAGGGGGTGAAAGGGAATGCTTAGACTGTCCCCCACCCATTTTCCAATCACACACACAGGGAGGAGGATGCCCTGTCTGCGCTAGCGGCTTATAAACTAAGGATCTCTCCCTACAGGGTACTCACACAGGAGAGACTAACGAGGATAGCCATGACCTCCTACACCTCCCTTCAGCAAAGAGCGTCGGCTAATCTCAGAGAGAAGGCGCCGCTTACTCTGTTGCATCCAGTGAGATGGTCAGACTGTCAGTGGCTCACACGGAGAGAAAAAGGGGAGGGAAGATGGGTTCACACACTCCTAGACCCAGGTAGCCTCCTCGCCGGACGATGCCAGACCGAGTTAGCGTACCGTGGGTCGGATCTCCTAAAAGATCCTCTAGTTACCGGGCTTGCGTTAGAGTAGTTCTGGTCACGAGCCAAAAGACTTTGCAGAGTACTCTGGGTGTCTTCTGGTAACACTCAATTCACACTGGTGTACACACACACACACACACCACACCAAGGCCTTACTCCAGGTACTATTCCCAAGTACCTCAGGTACTATTCCCAAGTACCTCGATGCATCACTCGAGGCAGTAAAAACCCCTCCTGCTGAGGCAGTAACAACCCCTCAACACAGGTGCAAACCTATGCACCTCGCATATGCATACAGGGGGCGGCAAACAATTCCCCTACGCCGCTCAGCATCTGACCTTGCTGCACAGTCAATAAGTTTGGATGGCGTGAGCCCAACAGGGACAGACGGCCCCACGGACAGTCCTCCTCCGACACCCCAATAGAGATTTCAAAAGGTCTCCTACCTCTATTGTGGCGCCATGGGGTTCGAAGGGGAACGATCCGTAGCAGCTGCCGGTGCCTCTGCGGGCGTTGCCATCCCGGACGAGCCCCCAAATTGTCGGAGAAAAACTGAGTTCTCACTCTTTTGTTTGGGTATAGCAAGTCAGAAGCTTTATTCACTCTCACAATTGTGCAGAGGGAGAGAGCTAAGCAGGTCTCTCTCGGGTAACTAATTACAGCAAGCATTTATACCTTTCATTACAGAAATAATGAGGGACAGCTGCATTTTGTTTATACATAGGCCATCTTGATATCTTATTTCCTCACTTGTTTTGACTCTTGCCAACATACAATATTTTCTATACCTTATCTACACAAGGTCTTTTACACCTTATCTATACAAGGTCACAATAACTTCTCACACAGTCTTTCTTACCCGCCTCACACAATCCTCGCTTCTACAAATTTCGCGTTATCAGGGTTACAGTTAGCCTGACTCTTGCTAACAAACTGTCATGCATTGCAGTTCTTTTCTGACAGTTCTTTTTTTGCTTCCACAGTCATCATGCAAGTCCATAATTTTTAATGAATCTGTAAACTCGGGGGTGGTACCGTTGGACTGGAGAATAGCTAATGTGGTTCCTGTTTTCAAGAAGGGGAAAAAAAGTGACCCGGGTAACTACAGGCCTATTAGTTTAACATCTGTAATATGCAAGGTCTTGGAAAAAATTTTGAAGGAGAAAGTAGTTAAGGACCTTGAGGTCAATGGCAATTGGGACAAATTACAACATGGTTTTACAAAAGGCAGATCGTGCCAAACCAACCTGATCTCCTTCTTTGAGAAAGTAACAGATTTTTTAGATAAAGGAAATGTGGTGGATCTAATATACCTCGATTTCAGTAAAGCGTTTGATACGGTACCGCATGAGGAATTATTGGTTAAATTGGAAAAGATGGGGATCGATATGAAAATCCAGAGGTGGATAAAGAACTGGTTAAAGGGGAGACTGCAGCGGGTCATACTGAAAGGTGAACTGTCAGGTTGGAGGGAGGTTACCAGTGGAGTTCCTCAAGGTTCGGTTTTGCGTCCAATTTTATTTAATCTATTTATTACTGACCTCGGAACCAAATGTAGAAGTGGGCTGATAAAGTTTGCGGATGACACAAAGTTGGGCGGTATTGCCAATTCGGAGAAGGATCGGGATATCCTGCAGGAAGACTTGGATGACCTTGTAAACTGGGGTAATAGTAATAGGATGAAATTTAATAGTGAGAAGTGTAAGGTGATGCATTTAGGGATGACTAAAAGAATTTTAGTTATAAGCTGGGGACGCATCGGTTGGAAGTAACGGAGGAGGAGAAGGACCTCGGAGTCCTGGTTGATCGCAGGATGACTATGAGTCGGCAATGTGACGTGGCCGTGAAAAAAGCTAATGCGGTCTTGGGATGCATTAGGCGAGGTATTTGTAGTAGGGATAAGGAGGTGCTGCTTCCGTTATACAAGGCACTGGTGAGACCTCATTTGGAGTACTGTGTGCAGTTCTGGTCTCCCATGTTTAAAAAGGATGAACTCAAACTGGAGTACAGAGAAGGGCCACTAGGATGATCCGAGGAATGGAAAACCTGTCGTATGAAAGGAGACTTGAGGAGCTCGGTTTGTTTACCCTAACCAAAAGGAGGCTGAGGGGGGATATGATTGCTCTCTTTAAATATATCAGAGGGATAAATACCAGGGAGGGAGAGGAATTATTTCAGCTTAGTACTAATGTGGACACGAGAACAAATGGATATAAACTGGCCGTCGGGAAGTTTAGGCTTGAAATTAGACGACGGTTTCTAACCGTCAGAGGGGTGAAGTTCTGGGAACAGCCTTCCGAGGGAAACGGTGGGGGCGAAAGACCTCTCTGGCTTTAAGATTAAGCTTGATAAGTTTATGGAGGGGATGGTTTGATGGGATAACGTGATTTTAGTCAATATGTCAATAACATGCCATCACTGGTAATTAGTATCAATGGTCAATGTGGGTCTGGCTGGAGAACCTTGCCCGCATGCTCGGGGTTCTGCTGATCACCATATTTGGGGTCGAGAAGGAATTTTCCTCCAGGGTAGATTGGCAAAGGCCCTGGAGGTTTTTCGCCTTCCTCCGCAGCATGGGGCAGGGGTCGCTTGCTGGAGGATTCTCTGCGACTTGAAGTCTTTAAATCATGATTTGGGGACTTCAACAGCTGAGTCAAGGGAGAGAATTATTCCAGGAGTGGGTGGGTCAGCTTTTGTGGCCTGCATCATGCGGGAGGTCAGACTAGATGATCATAATGGTCCCTTCTGACCTTAAAGTCTATGAGTCTATAAGTGTCATGTGTTATAACTGACTTACCACAATTATCTTCAATGTATGTTTTGCAATCTTCTCCCATTGGCCACATTGTTTATTCATTAGCTTCCGCTCCCAGTTTTTGTTTACCAGATTTCTTAAAATGTGTGCTGCACTGTAGTAATAGCACAGTATCCCTGCCCTTCCCGCCACTGAACTATTGCAGCATCTCTTGCCTCTTTTGCAGGGTCGGCTCTAACTTTTTTGCCACCCCAAGCAGCAAAAAAAAGCGCCGCCCCGCCGTAACACCCCCCCCAGCGCTGCCCCGCCCCG